GGCCGGGAGAGGCCTCGGGGCCCCGCCGCGACCGGAGGCACCGGGCGGAGCGACGTGGCGGTGGGAGGCAGCTGGCGTGTGAGGTGACGTGCTCGTCGGCCTTTCGAGGTCCCTCGCGCCTGCCGGGCTTCACAGACGCCCGAAACAAGGGCGCATCAGGGCCTGGAAAAGGCAACGGACAGCGTCGGAGGTTGGTGGGCCCGAGTGCGGCCTTGGGAGGAAGGGGCTGTCGTCTTTGGGATACGGGGCTCGGGCCTGCACCACCCTTGTTCCCCTAAAACACAACAAGGAGGTTTACTTCCGGAGAAGCCAGGGCAAACTCGCCCCTTGCCGTCTGCTCCCTGAAAGTCCGGCTAAGTCTTCCCAGGTAAGACGGATTACCCTGTTTCCTCCTCTCCTGTCATGGGGTTGCTCTGAGAGTCGCTGCGGAGTGGAAGCTGGTGTCACAGGGCAGGAGGAAAACCTCTGTCTCTAGGAAGGAAATACCTGTGTTACCCAAGTAAGATTAAGTGGTGGAGCTGTGGAAAGGAAGTGTATTCCAGGGCCAGCCTGGTCTTTAGCTGGTGGTGAAATGAAGAAGCCAGGGTCCAGACACAGTGGACAGATAATGGGGGTGTTACGGGAACCACAAAGTGACTGGATCCCAGGAAAAAGTACAAGTTTCATGGCCTAAGTTTTTGTACAAGAGTGTGTATGACATCGGAGACTGTCTGCCCAGAGCTGCCCTCTCCTGGGCATGAAAGGACAGCTTCTTCTTCAGACTTTGAGTCCCTTTTCGAAATTGGTCTTTTTTGGGTTATAGCCAGCATGTGTTCCCTGGGGGTCTGGCTATGGAATACCTACTTCTGAACCTGTCATCTGGTGTCCAGTGAGGGAGGCTGTGGCCCCTGCTCCCTCCCCCATGTGGAGACGAGACAGTCATGGTGCTTGGAATCCCTCTAGCAGGCCTCTCATTCAGGGTGGCCACTCTGGAAACATGGCTGTAGAAATCTACGCTGGGTGCAGCTGTGTATTTTATTTGTAATCTCTATAAAGCAAACCTAGGTGGTGTCCTTGCTTTGATCAAAGCCCACATGGTTCCTGCTCTATGTCTTCAGAGGTGTGACCTCTCAACTACTTTGGCATAAATGTAACTTCCTTGCTTTTCAGTAGATTTCTAAAATCTGTATTATTAGAGAAGACTCTCATTGGTGTGAGACTGGATGTCCTTGATAGAGAAAACAGGATATACTGAGAAAATTCCAGGGTAAACCAGATTGTGTGTGTATGTTGGGGGAGGAGTAAAATTCTTTAGGAGTTACTGGACAATTAGTATTTGTTCTCTTGGACGTCTTTTATGCTAACCTTCCTGAATCTAGGCGGATTCAGCTCTCTCCCTTGGTTTGATGTTGAGTTAAAAATCAGATGACGGGTTTGGTGGTTTCTCAAAAAGTTGAATCTAGAGTTGCCATAGGACCCAGCAATTCCACTCCAAGGTATACTCAAGAAAATTAAAAATATATTTTCACACAAAAACATGTACACGAATATTTATAGCAGCATTAGTTACGATAGCCAAAAGGTGGAAACAACCCAAGTATACATCAACTGACAAATGGATAAACAAAATGTGGTATCTCCATAAAATGGAATATTATTATAAAACATGCTAAGTGAAATAAACCAGACAGAAAAGGTATGGAATAGGCAAATCAGTAGATACAGAAAGATTAGTGGCTGTCAGGGCCTAGAGGGAGGAGGAAATGGGGAGTGACTGCTAATAAATGTGGGTTTTTTTTTTTTTTTAGGGTGAATAAAATGTTCTGGTATTAGATCATGATGATGATCGTACAACTTTGTGAAAGAAACCACTGAATTGTACACTTTACAATAGCGAGTTTTATATGTATAATATCTCAGTTTATAAAAATTAGATGGTAGGAGGCCTGTCCTGTTTTTAAAGCTTTATTATTTCTGTAAAAATGATATACTCGTTTAAAAATTTTCAAACGATACAAAAAAAAAGCTCAAAGAAGAAAGTAAAAACATCATCTGGTGACGTCTATGACCATATTGGTTTGGGGCGCAGGTCTGTCAGACTGTTGAGGATTGAACTTAGGCAAGTTACTGACTTTCCAAAATGGGGAGAAAAACACACCTATTCAATGCAAAGGTATGGGTAAAAGTGTAATGAATGCTAGCTCTTATATTCATTACATGTATGCGTGTATATGTAGCTAAGTACATTATCTGGTTGCCCATAAATGGGATTAGGCTGTACATGCTGTTCTATTATCTGACCTTTTCATGGACAAACGCTTTTTAAAGACTTAATTTTTTTAGAGTAGTGTCAGGTTTACAGCTAATTAAGGGGAAGGTGCAGAGATTTCCCATGTGCTTTTTGTCCTCACACATACAGAGCCTCTCCCGTTATCAACATCCCTTACCAGAGGGATATACTTATTGTAGTTGATGAACATGCATTGACATAATCACACAAAGACCATAGTTTACATTATGAGTCACGCTTGGTCTTGTGCATTCTCTGTGTGTGGACAAATCAGGAACAAACTTTTCATGTAAAAATCATCCACTCTAAAAATAAATGGCTTCAGAATATTCCACTGTATGGGTATATAACAATGTATCCTATAGTCTTCCATTGATTGAGTCTCCCATTGATTGAGGCTGTTGGCCCAACACCCCTGCTACATTAGAACATATAATTCAACATCATCATTTGCACACATGTTTTTTGGGCACTTACAAGGTGTGTGGCTGGAAATGCAGGTTCATAGCTTAAGCCCAAGGTTTAGGTGTCTGACAAAGTCCAGCTGTGCTCAGGGGTCAGGCAAGAATTGGCACTGGAAGAGCCAAGGGAGAAGCTGTGTCCAGGAGTGTTGGGCAAGGGAGACTGCTGAGGAAAAAGGGTGCAATCGGCTGGAGAGCTCTCAGCCCCCCATTCTGTAGTGGGAGTGTCAGAGGTCAGTAGAGGAGAGAAAAGAGCAGATTCCAGGAGAGGGTCAGGTGGCTTGGTGTATAAAACCCTCTCCCGTCCCCTTACCTAGCCCCTTATGGACCTGGTGTGCCTTCACACTCCAGACCCCCCACTGGACCTCCAGAGAGGCAATTTGCCTTCGTTGAGGGTGTACCTAGGTGGACAGGCCAGGGTTTGCCCTTTAGGGAAGCCAGGTGATGATCCTGGGGGCGCCAAAGGGTTCGACTCCTTTGGTCAATCCACTGCCCATCAGGCTTGCACTCCGGTCGCTGGGCTTTTTCTCCTCCCTGAGAAGGAGACCCTGTGAGGGACCCAGGGCAGGCCTGGTGGTTAGAACTGGACATGTAGGCCCAAACGTTGCCCTGGCGTTGTGTATGCTGGCCCCTGTCCCTCGCCCTCCTGGCATCCCCACCTTGTTCTCTGAATTTGTCCTAAGCCTTCCTTTCTGCCACTGGACTTCTTGGCCCAAGCTATTCCCTCTGTGGAGAAGGCCCTTCCCCCAGCTATTTACAAAGGCTCTTCCTTGAGCTTCCCTGGGTGGTCCAGTGTGACCTGACCCATGGTGGACCCCCTCTCTCTAACAAGCTGTGTAGCCCCGCTCTGGCGTGTGCCCAGCCAGCTTGGAAGCAGAGCCCTCTGGGTGTTTCTCAGACCTCCTTGCTAGCTGCTGACTCCAAGGGCAGGCTAGCACAGAGGGAGCCATGCTGAAGGGAGCAGGTAAGACATACTCCTTCCATAGCCTGCCTGCCTTATCGCCTGCCACATTCCCAGGCTCTGCTCAGCTCCTAGTGTTCACTCCTGAATTCTGCCTGGGCCCCTGGGTTTTCTTGGGTTTTGGTTCCCAGGAGATTTTCTCCTTTTGGCTCAGTTGGCAGATTCTGCTTGATGAACACTCAGTGAATAAGCTCTGGACAACTTTTCTGAGGGCCTGGAGCAGCAAAGGCGGCACTGCCTGGTGTGTACTTGTCCTGGTCCCAGCCCTGCTGAGGGCTCAGTTTCTTCCTCTGTAAATGGGTAGACTGTCCAAGCCTCAGTGCACTGGGGACCACTTAGTCAGTGAGAGACGATGTTAAATTCCTGCCATTCTCCTGTGCCAGATCTACCCTCCTTCTCTAGGTTCTCCCTCCCCCAGGGACAAGTTAGGCAATGGGCATTTGAATACCAATGAGAATGATGCCTGTAGGTCCAACCATAAGCTGCCCTCGTAAATGTGGGAAGATTTGAGGCCACCATGTCTTGGAAACCTGTGTGTGCAAGGACATCTCAGGGTGTCCCCTACCATTACAGAGGGTAAATGGAGGCCCAGAGAGGGGAAGGGTTGTGCCTCAGGCCACACAGATGATGCAGGACAGAGTGGTGGCCTTCCGGCTACCTGCAGTGCTGCCTGAGAGAGTTCCAGATGGGCTGGAACATGCTTCCCCATCAAGCCTTTGGGCAGCTTGCTGTCTGTCCTTCAAGGTTGGCCTGAGTCCACTTCCTCCTTCCTTGCCACCCAACCTGTCATCCCCCACTGTGAACCTCCCCTCTCTGAAGCCTATAGCAGCTGTTGGGCCTCTTCCTGCTTTCTGTGCAGCGTGAGCTTTGCTTCTTTCCTTAGTGTCTCTCTTTGGCAGCTTGGTTTATTTCTGCCTCTTTTTAGAGCCCAGCACAGACCAGGGATAGCATCTCCCAACAACCCCTCCCAGGCTGGCTGGGGGAGTCCAGGCAGGATTTGCCACCTTCTTTTTTCGTCTGTGCTCAGCGGCTCAGCATCTAGTGACCCAGCCCAGCTCTGTCCTCTACCTCAGATGTCCTCCAGTGTCTAGCTCTTGGCCAAGAGTTTCTTGAAATTTAGCTCCTTAGGGACTCAGCCAAGGTTTGTTCTCAGTTTGCTGGGAGCTGATCAGGCTGCTGCAGTCCATGTGTGAGGGTGAGCCTGGGGTGCACTCGGCCTGCAGACCAGGCCCCCCACCCTCTGCAGGCACTATCACTGATGACAGCTCCCCTGTCTGGCCATCAGGCAGGACCATGTTTCCCCTCTCTCATTGGAGCCTGCATGATCAGAACTTCTCCCCCACGCTCTTTCCTGCCAGCAGACATTCCTTCTTGGTCATTAATCAGCACTGTTTCTTCCCCAGCAGGTATTTCTTTTTGCCCCACCGTCTCTTGGGGGATGTTGTCCAGCAGTCCTGGTGTACATCCGCTGTCTCAGGAATACTCGGGGGAATGATCTGCCCACTGCAGGCCACTCTTCCCCACCCCACTGTCATGGCCTTGGTCACACCACATCCTAGTTTGCAAGCTGATTGTCATAACCTGCTAGTTGATCTCTTTAGTCCTGGGGCTCAAGCTAGTGACCTGCGAGTCAGCAGAATCTGGTCACAGATTAGTGCAAGGCTTAATCAATTTTGTTTAGTTCCTTTGATGTGGCCTTGCTTGCAGTCCCCACAGGTGTGCCTATTATTTCTATTACTGTGCACCTCACCAGCTTCCCACATCACCTGGCCCTTTGAGTTTGTAAGCCCCGCCTTTACAAGGTCAGGTACCCTATCTGTCTTTCTCTCTGACCATAGGATCGCATGTCAAGGAACAGGAGCTCAATTAATGTATGTCGTTGAGTGAGCACATATATTGAGTGAAAAAAAGGTGCAGAATAGTTTAATGTGTGCTAAATATAATTGATTATATCCAGAATATGTCTAGCAGGATTCATATAAACTTGGTAACAGGGGATGCCTTGGAGGAGGGAACTGGGTGGTTAGGGGGTGGGATGGAATTATGATACCCTTCATTACTTTGGAATTTAGTTCAAATTTTACAAAATTGGAATTTTGTTAATGGATGATTACATAATTAAAAAGATCAAGCCTTGGCATTTGAGGCCTTTCTTGCTGTGTGCTCGCCCCTGCCCTCCTAGCCTCAAGTCCCCCTTGACTCCAGTGTGGTCTCTCCTATCCCAGCAGTGCCTGGTTTGAGATGGGGTCCCAGGTCTCAGTGGACATGAAAGGCGTGCACGTGGTGATCGTGGGCGGGGGCTTTGGTGGGATCGCTGCTGCCAGCCAGCTGCAGGCACTGAACATCTCCTTCATGCTGGTGGACATGAAGGACTCCTTTCACCACAACGTGGCAGCCCTCCGGGCCTCCGTGGAGAAAGGTAATGGACTTATTTCTGGGACTTTCTTGGCGGGGGTGGTCTTGTCATGCTGTGGGTCTGGGGGTGGTTAAGGTCACTGGCCTTAAGCAGCTACTATCTCAAGGCCCCAGAAATAAGAGCTCGAGCTTCCCTGAGGACATGAGGCCCAGACTGGCATCTTGGGAGGTGGTGGATACCTCGGGTATGGCGCTGGTTCAGCTCTTTGGCCAAGGGCACCCCTGTTGGTATGTAGCTCAGGAAAGGTTCTGAGTTATCTGGCCTCCTGTGGGCAGCCCAGTTTTACATTGTGACCTATTTTGTGTCCACCCACTCCCCAGGGTTTGCCAAAAAGACTTTCATTTCTTACTCCGTGAGCTTCAAGGAAAGCTTCCGACAGGGCCTGGTGGTTGAGATCGACCTGAAGAAACAGATGGTGCTGCTGGAGAATGGTGAGGTGAGCACAGGGGCTGACCAGTCCATCAGCTGCTTCAGGAGGACATGGCTGTTGGTGAGAGGAGACCTGGGTGGGTCTCTTCAAGGATTTAGAGAGTCCTCTATGGTCCCCAAGTATTCCCCCCTACCTGATGCTGGTTAGATAACAGCTTCCTCTTAAGCCAAGGCCTGACCACAGCAGCCACAAGTGTGGTGGCAGATATTTCTTGAGCTTTTCCTGTATGCTAGACACTGTCTTAAGCCTGATATAATTTCATTTAATGCCCACCATGACTGTGAGGGAGGTGGTATGGCCCTACTTTACCAAGGGGGTGAGTGGCTTGTCTAGGATCCCATAGCTGGGAAGAGACTCAGCTAAGATTTCAACTCAGGTAGTTTCACTGAGCCCACATTCTGAAAGCCAGTGTTTTGGACCAGCCCCAGGCCTGGCCAGCACAGGGAGCCCTCCTTGCTGGCTAGAATCAAAGGGCAGGCACAAATGTGATCTCTATCCCTGGAAAAGGAAGTCATGGGGGCAGAGGTTTTCTTCACTCCTGGATTCTTCAGCCCAAATGTGTAGCACGGTGCCTGGTTTATAATTACAGTGAGGAGAGCTCCATCAGTGAGCTGCCACCAACTCACTCATCATATTGAGGGTCACCTCCAGCCTGGCCCTCTACTCTATTCAAAGCTAAAGGTTTGGCGGG